GTATATTTACAATTGTAATGATTATAGGTTATTTTCTATAACTCTTATATATGTACAATCGTATGAACATTTAGTTCAGCAAAAATGACCAAATAGAAAAATACAGCGCCTAAACTGTATGCAGTAAAAATAGGTTTTTCAAAAGATTTTTTAGCAAAATCTTTACATTTTATAGCAGCAAAAAAAAATATATGTTAACCTTGATCTTACATAATAATGGAGCATTGTTTTCAAAACATACTCTCGATATATTTTCTCGATAGAAAAAAATCATGAAACTACCTCTAAAAGAGGAATTCGTAATTTTTGCCGTGGAGACTACGGAATTGCTTAAGATTTTAATGAGCTATTACTTTGAATCAAAATAAATAATTATTAAAGTTCTTTTTATTATAAAGTTTAGGACCACTTCCTGAGGATAAATAAAATCACAAAATGACGACTGATTCCGGTTGAGCTTTAGACGCCATCAATATCTCGGAAGCCAAAGTGCACTTTAGGGCAAGAGTAATTGAGACCATTATTCTAGAGAATAAAATCTCGCATCTTTTTTTTTCCATAAACTTTTTTATATTTTTTAAAACCTTCCGCTTACGATTTTTGGCACAACATTCTCAGTTAGTGATCCAAAACCTTGTATAAAATAAAAATTGAATCGGTAATTCAGTGCTAAGTTCTATTTTACTGGCCTAAAAAACTTGTCCTGCGATTCGTGCCGAGACCAAGGTTCTGCGAAAGTCAAGAGGTTAATAAACCGCTGAAAGTTCGCCTATCTGCTATGTAAACATCCGTCGCGATACGATACGCCGGGAGCACCTTCGCGAAGATAGCGGTCAACTGCTCCTGATAGTGAAAGATTAATGTACTGTGCTGTTAACTCGATTTTTTTGACTCCGTGCCGCCCACGCGCCGTCCGCTTGTTTGGATTACGATGTTTGCCAAATCCACGCTTATCGCCCAACGTCCGATCTGTCGCGAAACTATCTTACTTATGCATGAATGAACGCGTGCACAGGATGTTTTCATTACACCGGTGTACTTTATTCGAGCGAGTTTCACAATATCGTGTGCCGTGCAACAACACTTGACCAACAAGCCCACACTGTTCTCTAAATGATCTTTCGCAAGTTTCAGAATTAAGATCGGAAATAAGATGCAACATCTCATCGTATAAACAAAGTTATAATCTTACATGAAAATGTGATTTTTATAATGTAACTACAATCGAATTATTTGTTTAATATGTGACACCAATAATATTAACAGATTACTATAAGAACCGCTACATTGTAAGATATTTAACAATATAGATATATATGTTACTGTTTCAAATTTGAAAACAGGATGCTTAAAATTTTGTCAAGCGGTTTCACAACCCCCGATAGGCCATTATTTGCTCGTTTTCCGGCCCAGTTTCCGGCTTGTATTTGTATAATTGTATCGAATTGTTCCGTCGCTTAGCGCTGACACAACAATTCGATTTTAACCAGACATCCGGTTCATATCGCTGCCGCCTACACTCGACCGAATGCGCTCAATTAGCTTTTGACGTTCACACCTGATGGGCGTATTGTCTGATGTTATGCCGTTATATTTCGTTTTGGTACGATAACATTATTGTAAATATCGGTGGCGTTTTATACTTTCATCGTTCTACGCCTAATAAAATAGTAATACGAAATGAAATAGTAAAGTTTGAGTCGTGTTTCTTGAGGAGGGGGGAGGGGGGGAGGGCTTGTTGAATTTTTCTATGTGTAGAGTTGACAAAGGAATAGGTATTTGACCTGATGTTAAGTGATTGCCCATCGTCATTTCCGACGTCTGAGGCTTAAAGTCGTTGCCGACCCTTAAACAAATAAAACATTTTTATTAACAACACGCCCTTCAAACATGATATACGACTATACATTTTCATTTCATTTTTATGAATTCTCTGATGTGTCTCCGTAGTCTAAGGTCAAACACAAATGAATTTAATATGAGACCTCATTGGAACTAAACCGATCTCAATACAAAAGATTTTAAAATCGCTCCATATATGAAGGAGTTTTGAGGTAACAAACATAAAAAAAACATCATACAACCGTATTGAGGACCTGCTTTTTTTCCGAGTCCTTTAATAAGGCATCGAATTAGAACCGTTGGTATGCAGGATTCTTTCCTAAGGTACAACAAAAGCGCTCACGTTTTCGTCGTTATTATTATAGGTTATATAAGTCCACCATTTGTAGATTGAGTTGCCTTCTACGGCCATCCTTTTAGCACTCAGACAAGGACAATGAGATAGGACAAATTTTTACACAACGTTCTCTAGTTTCAAACAAAGCAACGCTTTTACTATGGGTACTAGATACCTGATGAACATACACACATAAAACATATTATACACAGTGTCTGGGCACTACAAAAACGCTTTGTTCATAACAAAAAAAATTGTAGCAGTGGGGATTGAACCCACACCCTGGATGCCTGGTTCTGGCGCAGGAGGCAGGTACACTGCCCATCACGCCATTCGGGTCGTCAGACAAACTTCGTCTGGCTAATTACTAGTAATTTATTATTATACAATTCCATCTTTTTCTCTAACTTATTTTTAAACCGAACGCCGTTTGAGCGCAACGTCAAGCGGCGTTCGCCCCGCGATCTGTATGTTGGTTTCGTAACATAGTCAATAGGGTAAAGCGAACAATGCCACGCGCGGGCCAAAACATCCGGCCCGCTATCGCGACCGAGCCACATAGAAAACCGCGTCCTCTAATCGCTATGAATGAAACAGGCGACGTCTTTTTTTATTTCTTTCTTGCTTCTTTTCGAATTGCGCCGACGCGTGGCGTCGCGTTTTCACACCGCCAATTACTACTGCCAAGTGAGATTATGCGTTACGATCGCCATTCACCTTGCGTTGCGTACAGATGTACGTGGCGCTTTACGTTTTTAGTTCCGTTTGCCGACAATATTTGAGTCTTGCAAGTACTCGCGGATTGTAAACGCGATTATTTCTTTAAACGGTGCGAAGTCATTATTTCGTGACCGACACGACTAAGGAGCTTTCTGGAAGAATGCCTATTCCTTATTTGAACGACGGCAACGCTTTTGCTGCTCCCCTGTCTGTTCATTATCATGCCTGACAAGCCATATATCATATTTAATTATATATATTTTTAGTAATTGGTAGCAGCATCTTAACAGTATGTATCTTAAGAACGGATTATTGTAACCGGTGAAAGTTTACGCCGCGACTGATGCATTTGAGAAGTGGATATCTACTAACGGGCCAGTAACGAAGTTTTTATCTTATCTCTTGAACATGATTCATGGAGAGTAAATTTCTATATATTTAGATCATTAAATGCAATCACTTATTAAGAACACGCTGTAATGGGACATAGCTATAGTGCCATTCATTGCTTTTGATATTTGTTCGTCTACATTTATTTTGTCCCAAGTTGAGAACGGTATTTGAGGATATTAGCCCGGAGATATAACGTAACGGCACCGTGGTGTAACCCTACACCAATTTGGCAACTTTTTGCGGGGACATTCTGCACATCTGTCGTGCTCTAACTTGTTTCGTTAGATCTCTTATTCCTTGATAGTTGTGGTGGTAACCATTTATTTTCAAGAGACCTGTAAAATTAACCTTTGATTATTAAACAATTGGTTTGAGTACATGCGCCCTACCCACAGCGAAGGGCCCAAACCCGTGGGTTCTGGCTAGCCTACCGGTTCTGCGTCAGATGAAGCTTTAATAGTCTCGGGACTGAAAGCACAAACATCAGTTAATACAAGATACAAGATTTTACACACATGTCAGATTACTTTTAAAATGCTTAGGTACATCGTTAAAAGTTGTTATAAAAATAAATGCCATCGACAATTAAGTTTTGGCAGATTTTAGTATTCTAATGTTATAATTTTATGCCGGTTATAACTTTATGACATGCTATCAGGATGAAATTATAGTATTTAACAGAATTTTCACGCATGTAGGTACTTGATTTTCAGTAGATATTTTGATACTAGTTCGTGATTTGTTACCTGCACCTATTAAATAAATCTATCAAAGTTTCTCTCGATTGAGCGGTGGTGTTGGTGTGTTTAGGCGTCGATTATGTATATAGATGTATATAGAAGTCTTTAGGTCGTACAGATATAAGCCTGATATTGATGAAATTTGATTTGAAAGACATCTTGAAGGATGCTGTACCAACTGCAAAATCTCCGGGGAGCGCAATCATGCGTACTATAACCTCAATGCTCGCCGAGCATTATGGCGAACACTAAGTTACACCTAACAGTGTGACGTCATTTTTATGACGTACTTATCCCGTCGCGTCTTTAGGCGCCAACCACCAGGAGTCCAGAGTGGCTCCTGAGAAGAAGCCCGGGTCATAAGCCGATACCCGCACCTGCATACCTCTTATGAGGTAGAGTAGAAGCCCCTACAGACGGACAAACTATGTCCTAGCGCCCGGGGTTAGGTTTGAGAAAGCCATAGTCGCAACGTGGGTTTTTAAGTGGTTACCCATTTTGACTGAGACTTCCACATTACGTATTCCTTATCTATAAAAGATTCTTATTTTTCTCGCGTATAAAAAGTTCATATAAATAAGCCCGCCAATTCGCAGGGCTCCCTAATGGACGCCTTTTTATTTATATTTTGATGCAACCATATAAGATGACTTTGTTTTTACAATAACAAAATTTGAAACTAAAAAAATGACGTAGATCGTACGTTCTATTTCCTCCAGAACAAGTATTTGTGTGACCAAACAAATACAAATACTCTTTATGATTGTTTATCCAATTTTTGAGCACATGATATACTTCCGTAGGGTTACTTTTTTACTAACATTAAAATGGATTTCAAATAGCGAACTTAGAGCCTGTTGTCGCCTTTGCATGCCCCCCTAAGGACCTTTGCGAAAGAGAAGGCCTTTGACTTTACGCTGATAGCTTACTTTTCGCCAAGAAACTCGACCATTTCGAACAGCGGATGAATGGACGGCCTACGTATGCCTACGCGTGCTCTTGCGTCGATTGCGCAACGCCTCGCCGCGCCGGTGACGCAACGTCAGACCGTTCGCTTGTTTGTATGCAAAGCGGGCGTTATGCCCGTTCCTCGGCGGCACCGTACCGTGCTGTCGCGACTCAGTATACGACCTTCGGACTCCGCACTCGGGCCGCTTCTGTACGACGCGCCAAACGCCAGCGGACGGGATCCACTTCGGGAAACGATTGATACAGATACAGTCTGCGGAAACCCTCACAAGTTTAGGGTTGTGCCCACTCTGATACCTTAAGATCTATCTGATATCTTAAGATCTATCTCTAACTTAAGAACTGTCTGTTTGTAATTGGAGTTAATTGTTACGGTTTTACTGTGGTAGGGCGAACCTTCGCTGTTGCACACAGGCGAGCCTGCCCATGCATACATGGGCATGCTCGTCTGGTGAATGCCCCGGCTTCACTGACCAGCTTGACTTGGAAGTATTATTAAATATTATACTTTCGCATTTTGTTTTGTGAATGAGGTAACCAATCGGACACCACTTTTTAATGGTCGATTTTAATGCATCTGAAATTCTTCAGGCGTTGTTTACTTACCGATAACCGGTAGATAATACGGTCGACCTTTGTGAATACTCTTTTTGAACATCAAGTTTCTTTTTGTCACATCAGAGATATAATATTGGAACGACCGTATTGTGTAGGAGTTAACCTGTATCAAAATGGGACTATAACAGTCTTCTTATTAAATTGAAATTATTATGGCGTATTTAATATTAGAGTATTGACTTGACGAGTGCTTGTTTATGTTTTGTGTAGTTACATTATTTTTTTAAGTTTGATATGTATATTAGACCGTGAATAAACGTTTCTTCTTCTTCATCTTAAAAAATGCAAATAAATTGTCGCCCGTCCTATTTTGCTCACGCCCGCGGAACAGGAGTAGTCGAAATTGCTCTCTACGGGCACACGTCGTTGTTTGAACGCCACACCGTTGCCGCTTTGCGTGATTTGCCACAGCTGATTCACTATTGTCTCAGAGACTTCTATACACGTATAACAAATACGTATATAAAATGTGTCCTAAAGTATTTACATATAAAAAGTTTATAATAAGAAAAAGGTGGGGCGCTGGCAGATAGCGCCATTCATCCTCATATTAGGCGAATTCATTGTTGTTTTTTAAATTTATGGTTGAAGTTAATTCGCAACGCGCTTTGAGACACACTTTAAAATTTAGTTCAGGATATTGTGCGCATTTTATACTTATTGTACCATATTTCGATTGATGATAAATAATGTTAACGGGCTACTGGTTGGGATGTTGGATTTAAGATTTCGTTTTTGAATTGAAATTCTGTTCGCGTTCACACAATGGTAATAATAATTTCACTGTCTCGCATTCCTGCTTAGTTGTTGGAGTAAATAAGCTTGGCAAAACATCTTTAGTATCCGGTCTGTATCTGTTTACCCGATTAGGTTTAACTCCTTATTGTCTTGTTATCGACTCTGTCTCTGTATCAATAACCGCTACGCGAATTAACATCTTAAACATAAAATTGCGAGTAAACTTAATGAAAGTTGTAAGTTTCATGTCCCGCTTCCACTCATTATAAAGGATCATACGAACCATTTCAATCGGCGTAGATAATAGAAACGAAGTTTCTTTTTTGGCTGTGACTTCAACGCTCATCTTTACATTTCCGTGTATAAACGAAACAGCGGTGTTGATATTTAATTAGCCCATGCTGTTTAAAATTTAAAAACGCTCATTCCGTCGGGCATTGGCATAAGGATTTCCGCTCGACATGCTGAGGCAAAAAAAAATTAAGAGTTAATTTATCATTTCACAGCGTCATGAACGCGAGGAAGGGGGGGGGGGGGGGGTCATAAAAGAAACGCTAGTTAATTTGATACACAAATTAATTACCCGTTCCGAAAGTTGTTGGCAACCGAAGCGTTCGCGCGGTCGGCTATCAGGAAAAACGGGCACAAAATCCACTCGCCCACGGTTCCGAAGTTACATCGCAAAGGAGACCGATGCATTCCTGGAACTGCATTGACGCGGACCGTACCGCGCCGCCTCACGTCCGATTTCCGACCTTCGTGCCTCGCTATTTAGATCCGTTTTAGCGCTTGTATCGGATTGAGTGCGGTCGCCGTCGTTGGGGCGTTGGCCCGTCGAGAATGTTTGCCGCCGACCCGAGTGGTCAATAATGATCTGTTGTGCCGCCTATTGCACTCATTCTCCCGCTTTCTTGGACTCTGTTCGCGGATTTGGCGACTAAACACGCGTCCGCCGTCTTAACACGCACGCTCCCGCCATTTTCAATACGGTGCGACGCCGCACGCCGCAATTAAAACGGAATCGCGGCCGAACCTAATAAGTGTTCATGAAAACAGCTAGTTTATTGTATGTGATGAAAGAAAAAACCAACAGACCAGTTGGCTCTGTGAGTGATAGTCTGTCGTTTACGACCCCGCCCCCTCCTTCGTCCTGACGGGCTCGATTCGTTTTGAGACAACTTGCAATTAGCAGTTACACGCGAAGCGCTCTGTCGAACGCCGAAATAATTAAGTTTCGAATAATGAGAGCGGCCCGAAATTTAATCTCCCGTCTCGCGAGAGATACTGGGGTTTGCGACGCGTCCGGTCCCCGTTTGGATTGACACCTCGACGACAAATACCTCGTCCGAACGCTCAACTTGGTATTAATAAAATTAACCGTTTACGATAACATTAATTGGGAGGCTTGTTTTTAGAACCACAGTCAGTGTTTGTCGAGGTTTGTTGAATTAAAACGGTTGTAATATTGATTTGCATTGATTTGATGATCAATAATTTTTTCAACACGTCATTCAACTATGTGGTGGCACAATTGTGTCTAATGCAATCGTAGGCAGTTTTTTATCGAATAGAGTAAGCCCACGTAGCTCATATGGCGGCCTTTAAATGCTAAGCTTGCGGGGGACCGTTAACGTGCAGTCGGTGGTGGAGAGAGGTGCGACGCCTGGGGCGGAGCACGTGTCCTAGATTGTTCCACCGAACGCCTGGGTGGTCGCCACCGAGAATGTTCTGAATTTATCTGTTCCAATTGCACAGATATCGGTGAGGATACCAGTGCGCCTATTGCATTCGAATTCGTGCGCAATTAAACTAGTAAAGTCCGTTTCGGCATTAGTGAAGCGTGTTTGTTTGTGTGTTTGTGCTTTTCTGTGTGGGAGTGCATTTTGTTATAAAGTATTTTTAGCTATTGTTATTTTAATCCGACTGACAAAGGAGAGCGTTGGGAGTAATGCATCATCGTGGTTTTTCTAAATGAAAAATCATCTGCCAAGCTTGGGAGTTAAATAAGTTCGCTATGAATTGTGTTGGTGTATATACACAATTATGTATTTGATATTATGATGATATATGTTTATCCTATGATGTAATGTATATATATCATGAATAATGTTTATCCACCCTTGAGTCCCTACATGAACGTGTATAAACAGAGATACGTTCGACTGGATTAAGTCATAGAAAAATTTCTAAATTTCAAAAATTATAACACAAAAAGAATGTTCATAGTTTAAAGGTTTTTAGAAGCAATGTTTTCTATCTGCAAATTAACTTCAAAGGACTAAATAACTACCTATACGTAAAGTAAGTACGCCAGTATAACAAATTTACAACATCTTCGTTTCACATGTAGGGTGCCATTAGATAAATTGACGGACTACCGCAGAGAATGTAAGGTACGCACCTAAGGAAGAAATAAACATTAGTACTGTATTTTGTATGAGGACATTAGTTGATTAATAGATGGTAAATTGCTATGTAAAGATACTTTTCTTTGCAGCAGTGTTTTTAGACGTTGACTTATTTCTTACATGTTCTCTAAGCGTCGTATAAAATTGTTTTGACGGTCTTTCGAATCCTAGTTATAAATTATTCTTTTTTTAGAAGAAATAATTTTTTTGCGTTAAGAGTAATAAAACACCTCTCGCTTATTTTCAGTTTTTCCTCTCCTTATTCTCTAAAACCGCCGCAATGGATAGTGAAGAATGACATAAAGCAATTATAGCCATTGAAATATTAAAAACACATACACGTATGGGACAGACTAAGCCTGTCCCATACGTGGTTCGAAATGTGGGACAATGAAATTCAAAAATAAACGCGATAAATCCATAAATATAGTTTAATTTAATAATGTGTAATCGTGTAAATAAAAGTAATTATAAAATACTAGCTTTTCGCTCGCAGCTTCGCTCGCGTTGAAGCCCTTAAATAAATATCTTTCCCCTTTAAGAACCCTTTATAACTCTTTTTCCAATTAAAAATAGCCTATGTCCTTTCTCAGGCTCTAGACTATCTGTGTACGAAATTTCATTTAAATTGGTTCAGTAGTTTGGGCGTGAAAGCGAGACAGACAGACGGAGCTACTTTCACATTTATAATATTAGTATGGATAATTTAGACAGACATATTCTTTTTATTTTTGTAGTGCCTCTACAAAGGACGGTGCGAGCAATGTTATGTAAATATATGAAAAATCTCACCTCTGTTCGTATTTCATTATATTATTCGGTCGTCAGGGTGTAGGTTTCATTTGGAGGCGGCCATGTGTACACTTGTTGAATTGCAAATAAGCAAACCAGCCTCTAATATTATTTCGCAATTCTCTCTTTTATTTAGAGCCTAAGGGAACGTTCGCGAAAATTGCCAAAGCGGATCAGACGAATATAGGCCTATAATACATAATGCGTGTGCCGATCGCCGAAATAGTACGCGGAAGAGTTTTACCAAATTCTTAACTGTTGTGGCAGGATGTTGTTGTTACGTAAATAACTTTCAATGTGTCAAAAGCGAACGGTGAACGATCTCCATGAATTTTCATTATTCAGTCAACAAACCGTGCGAGGTTGAGCTTACTCACGCGTTATTTACATGATGTGTTTTGTTATTTTTAGGGCGATTATTTCGATTTGTTTAAAAAAATTGCATTCTATAACCGTAGCTCGCATGCCCCTTTATTTGTCCTAGCTTATTCATTTTTTTTTTTAAGTGAAAATTTGTCATGGGAGCAGAGTGTTCGCCTGATGTTAAGTGATTACCCGCCGCTCCTGGACATTTGCAACACCTGTGTGCTTGTAGATTTGTTGACAACCTTTTAGAAACGGAGTCGGTTAGCGCACTCACCAGACGAAACGCGAAATTTGTACTGGTACTTCACGCCGGTCTATTGTGATTCCGTGGTACTTCCCCGGACGAGCCTGCCCATTCGTCCCTACCACTGTGTATA